GTTTAAAAGTTTCAGAGAAAACATAGTTTTATATGGAATGTACAAGTAGAGTTGTAATATTAACAAATCATGGTCATGTCAGGGCTAAATCCCCACCACATCTTTCCATTCCAGATAGAAAGATTAAATCAGAATCTAAATTTTGAAAATGTCCTCATCTGTGTTCTTGACTATATATGTTCCTGAACAACTCAGAAATGCTAGATATTCAAAATCTACAGCCAATTTCTGCAGCCTGAAAATCTTTCTCTGAAGTGATTCTAAAGTCAGGGATGAAAGGAATCCATGATAGCTTGGTCAAAAATTACACTTTTATCTGGCCAGTGATGTCTGGTTTGAACCAATCAATATTGGACACTCCAGAGGCTGTGGTAAAACCACATCTGGTCAGTAGAGAAGGCAGAAAAGAATGCAGAGTTCCACATTCCTCTATCTCCAAGGATCCAAATTTGTGCATTGCCAAGGACCAGGAACCCTTAGGATGAGCAAGAAATTCTCCAGTCTTTATTTTTTATTTTGTTATCTGTAAACTAAATTAATCTTTTATTCTAAAATTCTATTTCCCCTCCTATTTTCTTAAACCAACATTTGTGAGACAAATTGTACTCTCTTTGGAAATTTTTTCTTATCTGACCATAAAGTGGTAGGGAGAAAGGAGGAGATTATTCATGTCACAAGTTGTGCAGTCATCTGTCTATCAAAGTTCCTTTACAGCTAGAGGTAAACTAAAGCAGATTTAGAAAAAGCAGATGCATCAGAGCACATTTTTTCCTATGCCTACTTTTTTCCTGTGCAAAGGTGATTTTATGTGCTGAGTTTGTCCCTACTGTGCAGCAAGTTCTTCCAGACATTGGGATATTTCTGCTTCATAGATCTTAGCCTGTTACCCAGCATTTCAACGATGCCACTGTTTTTCTAGTTGCCAATAATTCAGCCTGGTAAGGGGCAAACTGGAGCTCTGGAATTGAATTAATCTTTTTGAATCCTGAAGCTGAGTGCTGTGTTGTCCTTGATAAAAGCTTGTTAAATGTGAATGGCAGTGTAAGCAGTGTGTGAAATGTTTTATGGCACCTGAGCCTCTCTCTGGTTCCCAGAATAATGGGGACAGCTGAAGTTTTCACCTTTTATGTGGAGACCTGCATTTGGGAATCTCCTGTAACCAGTAAGTTTGAAACCCCTAAATGGCTGAGTTGCTCTCTATTTTTCCTCCTGGTTCCTGTTCAGCCCTTGTACTAGAGTATTTATATGAAGAATACCAGAGTATTTATATGTTTTGTTACCTGACTATTCAGGACCAGTTTCTTGTGTGGAGGAGATCAGCCCACTCTCCTCAGACCTAATCCTATTACAAGGATACACTTATTTCCTGCAATGCTGATACACATTGTACAGAACTAGAACTGGTTTTGCTTGAGGTACGAAGCATAATTTGAAATACCAAGATTTTTGACAATTTTTTTAATTACTTGTGAATAACTCAGAGATTGGAACTACAGAAATAACAGGAATCAAGGCAAATAGGTGTTAATGAAGTGTTCCTTTAAAATGTGTCTTGTTTTCACAGCGCAGTGGAATGACACAATAAACTTAGAATGATTTATTTTAAGTAACAATCTTGAGGAGAGGTTATTTTGTTTTGTTTTGTTTTGTTTTGATTTGATTTGATTTTTCATGCAAGGAAGGGTTTGAAATGATTTCTCAGGAAAAGTTTCAGCTCACATGGAAATGTTTTGTTTAATTATGCTATGCTTGAATTTTTTCCTAATCATGGAAAGCTGTGTCAGAATTTTGTAAGAAAATTTCAGGTTATGAGTGTTTTTAAAGTAGCTTTCGTAATACTGACTGGTCACAGCTCCTTTAAAAGTAGGCAGAGTCCATGGAGCTATTCCTGTTTCCAAAATAGTTGGCGTTCAATCATCCAGTCTGTATAATTTGATAGAATTACTGACTGTATGTCAAAATCTTGGGAAGCTTTGTTCAAAATAGGCATATTATAGCTAATTAAAATTTCCCTTTCCACCTCCTAGTTTTAAAAATTCAGCATTAAAATATATTTGGAAATCATTAACTTTAGTCTGCCCTTTAACTTGCTTTCTTTTGTCTTGAAAGCTCATTCCTTTTAGTAAAGCATCTGAATGTCTAGGAGGACAACTGACCTTTAAAGCGAAGAGAGATTACTTCACTCAGGTTGTTGTGAATTTATTTTGTTGTTTTTTTTTTTTTAAAGGCCATTCAGAACATCAATGTAGGTGGGTTTGTTTTTTTTCAAACTAAATGCGCACTTAAACCACTTCAGATAATACTGAAATGTACTTAAAGGAAAATTACCTTCTCTACTGTGTCCCTAGGATTTAAATTCTTCCCCTGGAAAAAAATTACATTGTTAGCTTCTCTGAAAACTTGTTTTTCATTTTTAAACGGATTCTTCTTTTAGATAAACCACCAAAGGTAGACATTATAGCAATGTGTTTTCTTTTGGTTTGTTTGTGATTTGTTTTTTCTTTCCTTACACACACTTACTTCATTTGCTCTTCCAACCCACATTTTGTTTGTCTTTGGCACTGAGACACTCTTACATAATTTCTCAAAAATACAACAGTGTTCAGCTATAACAGTCCAAAAGGCTACAGCCTGCATTTTTGTGGAGGTTTGGGATGATCACAGTAGAATGGTGTATTGTTTCTGATAGAGCCTGTTTTTGGAGGTTTCTTGAATGCCTGTTTCTCTGCCCTTGGCCTCTTCTCAAGTGTCTAATAAACAGGGCTCAACAAGGGAGTGGGTGACACGACTTTAACTTGTGCCACTTCTCAAATACAGCACTTCAGTTTCTTTGAGGAGATGAGCTTAAGTAAAAGAACGCTCTGTACATACCACAGATGCCATCTTTCGTTAGTTTCTGTTTACATGGTCGGTAATTCATACTGTATATTTTTATGTAATAAGTTAGCATTAACCTAAAATAAACTCAGTACAGTTAAGTCCACAAGCATTCACACCAGAGTAAATGAGAAATGGTCCCTTGTAGGTCAGTGCATCTGCTGCATTCTTTATAAGGGGAGAGCCCAGCCCACTAGAACAAGATGCAAACATATTTTAGAGCACCCTTTGAACTAATGGATATTCAGCCTTGCAGCTGGTTTTTAGGTAAAGTGCATAAAAGATTTCACTCCTAAATAGTTAACTTCCACTCTTTGGAGTAAGTGTCAGCTCTCTCTGGCTGCAAATAACTATAAGACAGGCCACTGAACATGCACAGTTGCAATACGATCTTGAATTTTGAAGTATAACTCTCTGTTTGTGTCTTGTCCTTGTCCTCTGTCAGTCTCTTTTGGGTATAAATGTTAAGTTGTATGTTTGCTTACATGTATTTTAGCTAGGAGTAGGAGCTCACTTTTTCTGTTGGCTTAGAGCTATTCAGGACTGCCTGTGTAGGACACTGCTGTGGCTGGCAGTGTGAAAACACTGAAGTCAGATAAAGTTTGTATCAGGAGCTGTGTCTGTGTCTGTATTGGTACCAGCAATTTGGTTGTTGAGCAGGGATTGATCAGGTCTGCAGTCATGTGTTATCCTGCCTGGATCAAGTCCATCTCATGCCTCATTTCCTCTGACAGGGAGGGGCCTGGGCTATAGGCACATGGAGAACAGTCATGGTGTGAGTTATGGTAATGCCTAAGAAGAAAAAAGCCAACTGCATGCCTGAATCTCTCTGAAGTAGAAAACATCCCCAAAGAGGCCAGAGAAGGTACTCCTTGTGTAGTCCCCACTGAACACCTTTGCTCCTCTGCCATTGCATGGTCTCAACTGCTACATTTAGATTGTTGTCCCCTCTCTGCCTAACTCATAGAATGGGACTGGAGAGAGGTCACACAACCTTCTCTTCTTCGTTTGCCACTCTTGCATGTGATCCTGCACTGATTACACTCCAGGCAAATTCAGAGCCTACCTTTTAAGATGTGACCATAACAAACGTAGCAAGTATTGACTAACACAGTCTTAGTCCAAGCTCTGGTGCACAGAATCTACTCTGAAATGGCATTTGCTTCCCTGCTGCACATGTAGTAATGCTTTAACAAGTAATAGATTACAGAATGAAGTTTCTGCTGTCTCCCCTGGGAGTCAACTAAGGCAAACAATGATTAGGAAATCTTAGCTGATAATTGTTTAAATGTTTTGTTTCTTAATTTTATCTTTTTCCTTGGGCAATTTTGTATTAACCTAAACAGTTCCTTTCATTCTTCAGTGCTTGTGTTTCCCAAGTTTTTGTAAACCACTACCAAGCCTTCCTTTCCCACAGGCATTGCTTATCCTAACTGTTGACTGAAAATCAATCCCCCCATCTAATGACTCTGTCACTGTTCTTTGAACTCTTTCCATTTTACATTATCCATCTGGCAGCGAAACATCCAAAATTGCACGCAGGCTGCAGATGTGGTAGCTCCATAGCTGCTGAGGCAGGGATCTGTTACAAACCATTGTATGTCAGGATTTAGCTGTTACTAGGATCAGTACTCAGAAAGTACAAAGTCATTTGCCTCTAGTTTCTCTACCCAGGATACGTGGGGGGAATGTGAGATTTGCAACATAAACCTACTGAAGTTGTGTTGTTTCTCTTAACCCTACACCCTGTTAATTTTTCTTTGGTTTTTATACACCTATAGACACATTTCAAGCTCTTGTTCTCCTCAGAAACGCAAGGCTTTCCAAATCCAGGATCCAACTGCTCTCCATCAAGTAAAAGCCAGGAGACTTCTAGGCCAGGACAGCTAGGATATGTGACAAGGGGTCCTTTGCTTTGGTTCCCTGCCCCGCCTCTGCTGTGTCCCAGGTTCTGTCAGAGTCAACATCAAATTGTGGTGTGTGACTACCATACTGTCTTCTCCAGCTAAAAGAAGAAGATATGACTGCACACATGGAAATTAAATTTCAGCAGAAGTATTTTAGTTTTCATTTATGATATCACAAGTTCACAAAGTGTTTTTTCCTTCTTTTCAATTTAACAGGTTATCACTGCTGGCTTATCACCGTTCTTCTTTGTCATGACTGCCAATGTACTAACAATTTCTTGGTAAGTGTCTACATGAGCTTTTTGCTTAAGAGTAAAGATGAATTCTCACACGGTTCTTCATGTGGAAATATTTTTAAATGTCAAGTTCTATTGCTGTCAGTATTATCTTGCATGTAAGGAGAACCAGGTGTGCAATGATGGATGCAGGAAAGAAATAGAAGAGTTTCTTCTGCCTCTGTGGGAGAACATGGACATTTTGGACATTAAGTTTCACCACAATTCACTCAGCATATTTTACAATGAGACAAATGGATCCAATAGGCAAATAAATGACCTATTCAAAGTCATGCTGCAATTTAGTGGCTGAACTGGAAGTAAAACACAGGAGTCAAGGTTTGGTGACAGCATCTGTTTAACCAAGAGGGTGGTTGTGGATGCATAAAATGACACTGGAGAAAAATAATGATAATAAACTTTCCCCAAAGCTGTATCTGGATTTTGTAATGTGTGGCCACACAGTACAAATCACCTAACCCGAATTTTTTAGGTAGCAGTATAAAGGATTTGGGTTCAAGCTCCTTTGGTCAAAGGCAGTGTTTTTGATCTATTTTGTATGGCACACAGTGAAAGGGAATCACAGAACATGGCTGGTGAATCTAAGTGATTCTGCCATGCAAATAACATCTCAATGTGGGGTTAGACATGTGTTTCTGAGGACAGATTTGTTAATGGAAATAAAAATCTACTTACTTTTGAAAAGCTTTAAGCTTCCCTTTTTCCATTTGATTCATGATTCATTCAGTTTGATTGCCATCCTAAAGATTCAGCTCTGCACTGAATGGAATTAACATATCCTTTCTTCAGGTGTGAAAAGAGCCTTATAGAAAGGAGAATCTCCAGTTCAGACTGGCCCCATTTACTTGTGTGTGAATATGCATTCCTACCTGTATTTTACACACAGGTAGTCTCAAATGCTAAAGTAAGCTGTGCATTTTTTTTTAGTTCTAGGAAATACATGCAGCCTGTGCATGTCAGAGATGTAACCAATATCAAAGAACATACAAAACACTCCTAGTCTAGGCCATTAACTTGCTGCTCTTCACCATGTTTTGTGCAGGTCTGTCATGTGTGCTAGAGGCAGGCTTTGATTATACATCTGTATTCACTGACGTGCACTAAAAATTAATGTGTACCTTTGTTAATGTGAGCACACAGACCCATACAGTTGAACAATGTCACCTGCCCTATATGGTCTGAAACTTCTATACATGATGAACTCATCTGTATGTTTAAAAGATATTTTGCTTTAGCTCTTGGGCCACTGTTACACTTTGAATGTCATAATTCAAAAAGAAAACAATATAATTTTTTTTTTATTATGTCAGTGCTTGCGCATTGGTAGTGCCTTGGCTTATCAGCAAAGCTCTGGAAATAGTTTGTTGAATGATAGCAGCTGCAAAGCACTCATGAGAACATTAATCACTGAGGATTTTAGTATTGCTCCAATGTGGTCATGGCCAAAATCATAGGTTAATTTTTGAATGATGGGCAAGTGCAGTTAGCTGTCACCCCACTATAAACAGAAGCTGGAAGATTTGCCAGATGGTAAATTGAAGGTAATATCAAGGGTTGGCATTTAGCCGTGATTTTTGCTCTGCTTCATCTTGAAGATATAACAATGGATTCCATTTGCCTAGTAATTTGGACTGCACGGGCATGTGGGTGCCCAAGATTTCAAATCCTTCAGAAAGGGGTTCTTTGTCTGATGTAAGATATATGATAGTAAAGAACAGCTCAGGTGCAGGCATCTTTTTACAGAACAAGGCTGGGAAGTTTGCTGTATTTTGTAATTTCTAGTCTGACTTTTAGAATGATTTATTTTTGAAAGTCTCTGTTAAAAATTTAGAAAACAACACATCTATAGAAACAGGAAAAAAAATTTCTAAGGCTTTGTTGATTTTAGGTCTTCTGTATGCAGTGTTATGGGGCTTGGGGTTTTTTTTAGGATAAAGGATATATTATCAAATCTTAGCTTCCAAAGGAATTGATGCATAGGGTGTGTTTATAACTGGAGCTGAAATAAGACATGGGGGTTACCCCCTCCAGAAAAAAAGCACTCAGAAGTTGTTACCAGTTGTAGGTGACCAGACTCAGTGGTTTAGACCCTTTTTGAAAACCTTGCAGACTTTTGCTCCTTGTTGGTAATTCCACACCAAAGCTATTCTGTGGACCACCACAGACTGTAGCACCTACTTTCCAGGGCTGTTTACTGTGTAATTGGTAATTGTAAGATGTTGTGCTCTTGTTATGCAATATTTTTTTCCTCTCAGGAACAAGGGCAGTTATGTGTTTTTTAAAACAGCTCACCAAAGCTAAGATCTAAGTGAGTGTAATGCTATTAGACTCAAGAGCCTTCAGCTTTACATGCTTTTTTTTGTAAGGGATAAAAAAAAAAAAAAAAGAGTACTCTTAGAAATGAACTTTACAGAAGTTTGTTTTGTTTATAAAGTTCAGTAAGGAGCTTTTCTGTTTCATAAGCTAATTAAGCCATGGGGCTAAGATGAAAGGTCAGTACACTTAGCTTTGCACTGTTATAAAAGGGGAGAAGAGTCAGCATCTTACCATATTCCTGTCAACTGTGACAGATAACAGAGGAGACTTGGGGATTGTTAACTATTGCATGCATTGAGTGGGTTGATAGCATATTTCAGTGAAGGTTTTTGTAAAACCATTCATCCTGACTTGGAGCTCTGCTCCTAGGCTGACTCTTGGGGAGCAGCCTTGATGCCACAGCTGTGCTGTGTGCAGGACAGGAAAAATGTGCTTGGGCCCATTAGTGCCTTTTTGGCTGGGGCAGCTTCTTTCACCTCACCGAGAGGCAAACACAAGAATTTCTGCTGGCCTTACTATGCCAATGGGATCACCCCAGTGCAAAAAGGTTTTCCCAGATTTCGCCTTGTCCACAAAACCTAGGCTTTACATCTCCTCCTGATGTTGTCAGGTGGCAAGTTTTCACAGCAGAACACAAGCAGAAACTGCAAGAAAGAATAATTTCTTTATATATTTATATAAATTTATATATATTTATATAATTTTCAATTATCATCAATAAGGTTCAAACTCTTTTGCTTTCCTTTCCTATTCTTGCTAGTGTAGGAGTGTGCAGCTATTCTTGTAACTAGGGGCAACCTTCTCCATTTAGATTCCTGTCTGTGCATTTTTACTGAATACCACCAACCCTAAAACACAGGAAAGGTAGTTTCTGATGAGATCATTTAAATAAGATATTTTGGGTTACAGAATTTTCTTTGCGAGACAAATGAAAAAAATCACCTGGGTTACTGTCTCTAGGTTGGAATGTGTTTAGATAAAATAATATAATTTTGTATCAAGTAGAAGGACTCACATGATGCTAAATTTGTGATATGCTTTGTTTACAGCCTTGTGATCGGTGGAGTTGGAGAAGCATTACTTGTTTACAGTGAAAGGACAGGCACATAAAGAGGAACCAGATCTCACCAGCTGGAAAAGAGCTGACTTTCAGCCTAGAGACACTAGCATGAAAAAAAGTGGCAGCAGGAATGAAGAAGTGCAACCAAACATGAGGAAAGGGATCTATTTTTTTTATTTTTTTTTTTTAATTAAGAAAATAACCTATGCTATTAATAATGCTGGTAAAGGAACAGCATAGTTGGCAAAGATGGTAAGGAGCCTTTACCTCAAAGCACAAGACAAACTATGTCAGATTGATGTGGTAAAAGGAAAACTGCACTGTCTCATGCTGATGGCTCTGTGTGAGCACCACTCAGTAGCAGCTTCTTGCACAGGGAACTAAACTCAGGAAAAAGCAGCATTCCCCACTGGATGCCTCCAGTGGTTGTTTTTTTTTGTTTGAAGCAGACCGCAGGTCATACCAAACAATGTCAGAGCCCAGACCCTGCCATAAACTCAGGATCTGGAAGGACGGATTTTGCCTCCAACTGTGCTGTAAGCAGCAAGCTGCCACACACAGGTCTCTAGTCATGTTGTCTGAATGGGCACAGGGACTGAGGCCAAGGGGCTTGTGGAGATAATCCCCTTCTGGAACTCTGGCAGCTTGACAGCTTTGCAGAAAGGGAAAATCAGCAATAAATCTCAATATCTGTAGTGATTGCTCTTTGTGAATTTTTTTCTCTCCCATTTGCTGAGATTTCTCTTGAACTCCGCCAATTTTTGTCAGCTGGAGGGGGTGGAGGGACACGTACTGTTCCCAGCAGTGGTTTGTCTCTTAAATTATTGCAAGAGGAAACAAAGAATGAATGTCATAAAGAGTGTAAGGAAATTAATCTCAAGAGTTCTTAAAATAATTTCACTTCTGGTTGCTTAATAACTGTTAAAAATTAATCTTGATATATTAGAGCCTGCAGTCTATGTGAAAGTAATATTAAATGATGAGTTTATATTGTGGGAAAGGTCTACATGGTAAAAGGAACTCGATAGCAAAGCTTCAATAAGGAGAGGGACTTGTCTCACATGATGTTAGATATGTAAAGTGTAGTCCCTTAATCTAAATTGACCAGCATTCCTTCATAGTCAATGGGAAGAGGGCTGCTCTCACAGAGATATCCTTTTGGATAGATTACTACGTTAGGAAGTGCATATCGCTCTGTAGATAGAAACTGGGCAACTAGTCTAAACAAGATACACGGTTTCCACAAGGCTACAGTTACCAGAGGAATATCTGCTTCAGTGTAAAAAATTCCAGCAAATGGGCTTGAAAACATGGCTACATTTTTGTTTCAAATAAAGCACCATATAGTGAAGGTAAATTTTACAAATGCTTGCAGTCAATTTCTATGACTGAGGAGTTTTAGATAAAGATCAGCCACTCTGACTTGAGTTTGGAGTGAGCCATTTTTTTGCCAGGTGGTAAAACTCAGGTTTGGGAAGAAAGGGGGAAGAAAGGGACAAGCATGGAAAAATAGGTGTCCAAACTGTCCTGAAACTAGCATGAGCCACGTGGGAAGCTGGGCCCATACTCACACCCAGTGAGCCAATGACACAGCCAGCCATGGATCCTCATGGCATCCCGGTCTGTAAATTCAGACAGTGCTGGCAGTGATGGCTGCAGCATTCTGGCTTTCCCCAGAGAGCTTTCTCTGCAGCCAGTTGTGGCAGGATCCTTGCTGTGCCACCTTTCTGCTGACTTTGAAGTGAATAGTGACCCTAGGAGACCTCATGGAAGAGTCCCTGCGTGATTGCTGAGGTTTTGCAATCATAGCTGGAACCTTTGCTGTGGGAAAAGCTCATCGTGTACCTCTCTTCTTGCATAACTCTCAAGGATAGGCTGCAGTCTGGTTTTTTTTCTTCCTCTATCTTGCTGGTGCTGTTCCTAGCAATGTACCAAAGCAGAACACCCATTTGCTTTCTTGCTGCTGGTCTTAGTGGAAAGGCAGAGGCCAAACCAGCAGCCAGGGTTGCTGGAACTTTGATCAGAGGTGTGACTCTGGTGTGACTGCAGGAAGCTTGTTTGGCTGCAACAGGCATTTAGGCTGCCTGGGCTCTAGGGGAATTCAGTCCCTGCAGACAGTGCATTAGTGTCCCCTTACACAGTAAGGCAGCTGCCTTTTTATTGAACTTACATGTGTTAAACAACACTGAACTGTTTCACCTTTGCTTGCATTTTTTGTGCCTTAGTGCAATGTGCTTGCATTTCTGAGACTCTGCTTGAGACAAGTAAAAAATGCAGGTTTAAACTGGTTGCTACATAAGCAAATCAAAGAATCACAGTTAACGGTGGAGTTGGGCTCTGTCAAACACAACAGATTCAGTACCCTCTGAACCAACCCTGCCTGCTTCAGGTGAGGATAACCTCTGCAGAGCAGCATGAGGCTCATCCGTCTTACTGAAAACTCAGAGTAGGGTGGAAATAGAACTCACTGGCCTTCAAAATCCATATTTTCATATTTGGAGTTGTCTTAAGGTGCTAAAAGTACGGATTGGCTTCCTTCTTGCCCAGGCTGTGGCAGAGGGAGTAGCAGAGCCAGGCTCCAGTGTGGCATCTTCCTCTGAGGGAGTCCTGTGAGCCACGGGCTTGTTCAGTGCTGCTCACAGTGAGCTGTCAAAGGGTCAGCCCTGCAGTAGGGCAAGAGGTGGTGGGGAGAGAGCCTTTGGGGGACTTCTGGCTGTTGGAACAAGTGGTGCCTTTCTTCAACACGTGTGTACTGGGGTGGGGATGCCAGCCAGGAATTGGTGACCTGTAGCAGTTGCAAAGCCCTGAGAGGTCATCTCAGCTGGCAGTGCAGAGCAGGTCATACAGACCTAAAGGTCAGCTGAGGGAGAGTACCAAGAAGACCCTGGCTGGCCACCACTGCCCTTTGAGAAGGTGTATGTTCCTACCTGTGGCACTCAAGGAAGCAGAGACACAGAGCTGGTTGGGCTCCCTGCCAGTCTCACAGCCCTGAGAGAGCAGGCAATGGCAGCAGAGGAGAAATGTGGGCAGAGGAGGCACTACTGGCTGCTTGCAGAAGTGGGGACTGGAGATGATGGGGTAGAGCAAACCTGGTAATTTCCTGAGAAAGCAGTGCCCTGGTCTTTCATTCAGCTCTGCCACAGAAGGAGGGATGCTGCATAATAAAGAACACACTGTAGGGTTGTTAAAGTTACCTTTAAAGCAGGAAACCTCAGAAGTTCAAACTTAAAATGGCTCTTGCAAGACTGGTGAATAGTTATGCTAAGTAATTTAGAGCAGGAATATGCATGGGTGGACCATTTATATCTAATTGACCTTTTTTCCAGTCAGTCAAAAATACAAAGTGCCAAACACACAGCTCTGAGGAAGGAGGAGCTCCTTTAGGTTGCGGACAAGCAATGACACTGATTAATACCTGAATGCAAAGTGGTGGGTCTATAGCTCAGCTGATGCAAAACACTCCAGATTTATCTGTATCCATCATTTAAGGAATTACTGCCCTTGGGTTGTCAACGCATGGGACTAGAGAGAAAAATTGGAGAGGCCTAAAGTCTCTGCTTCCTTGAGTGCCACAGGTGGGAACATACACCTTCTCAAGGGCAGTGGTGGCCACCCAGGGTCTTCTTGGTGCCCCCCACAGCTGACCTTTAGTTCTGTAAAATTGTGCTGGAGAGGCAACAGGTGCTGGAGGCTGTCCCATCATGCCCTTTTCACATCTACTTGTTTTGATCAAACAACTGACTGAGATGGTCCTGAATAATTTAATATCTTTCTGATCCTACCTTGCTTACACTTACTTTCAAAGTGTCTTTTGTTTCCTTACAAAGTATTTGGAACAAGGCTTGTATTATCCACTGTATTATCAGTGGCATGACTCATGCATGTGGCTGGCCTTCAACATAAAGAGCATCTGCTTAAAGCCAAGTGCCATCAAAAGAAGACTTGAAGAGTAAAGCCTTCAAGTAGTCTTGGGTATGGACTACAAGTGGATTGCAAATATGCAGGCCACAGGGATTCTGTTTTGAAACAATCTTCTGGATCTGGTGGCTGTAGCATAGCTTCCAGCAGAAAATGTTATTAAATGAATTAGATGAACCTGATACTTAACACTGAAGTGAATCTGTTGTTGCTTATTGCTACATTGTGTTGGCAGAGAACCTATTCCAGTCTCTCAACAGAAGCTGAAAATCTGCGGAGCAGGTGATCTTAGCAAAAAGCAATAGGAAAACCTTTAAAATTATTTTTAAAAGAAGCTTTGGACCTTTTAAAATATTAGGTAAGGGATAGAATTCTGATTTACCATTAGTCTTTGTAACACCTATCACCTATGTCTGAGTTGGTGGATGACTATATATATATAATGTGATGTCAACGTAACACATGCTTTGAAAAGGCTTTATTAAGTATTGTAGAAAAGTTAGTTGCTGGGAGCTGTACTGAGTGCTGAGGGCAGGTTTCCTCCAGCTCCTGTAAGCTAAAGGAGATGGTGGGTTGAAGAAAACTCCATGGCGAATTTGCCTTGCCCAGAGCTGAATGAACAGCTTTCAAACAGATCATCTGCTACTGTGAACAAGGCAACAGGCTCAGTGTGAAACTTTAATCCTGTTCCAGAGGATAGACACAGGGACAGGCTCATTTGGTTTGAAAAGAAGGCGTGGGTGAGGGGAAGGAGATTGCGGGCAGGACTGAAAAAAATTGAGACTGAAATACTTTTGTATAAGGAGATAAAATAGGATGAGATCTGCTTCTGAAAATGTGTTTTTTATTCATAGGTTTGGGGGGAGTGGGGGCTGGGGCTTTTCTTTGTGGGCTTGTTGTTTTGCTTTTTTTTAATTAGGGTTTATTACAAATACGTATCTGTTTAGTCCCAAAAAGGAATTAGAGGAGTCTATGAAGGTTGTGTAACTATTTCCATATTATTTGACTGGTTTAAGAAGCTTAACCCTTTTTTTAACTGAAGTTATTAACTAAAGTCATTGTGTAAGCCTTGATTTCTTCTAGAAAATGAATTGGTTTTTTTGTAATAATGCTGGTAAAAAAGTTGTGCTCTTCTTGATCACCAAGATGGGGAGACTACCTCCTATTTAGTATCTGTGATGGGAAGGAGTTACACTACTCTTTACCTTTTAATAATTGCCTTGGCTTCCATGTAGGTGGGAGTAGCCAGCCAGCATGTTAAGTTCTTGATTTGATGGTATACAAAACCCCATTGAAAGCCACACTGGGACCATGATTAGCAAATTTTGTCTTTTGTTCTGTCATTAAGATTTGAAAACATATAGCCCAGGACTTGTTCAGCTGTGAACTTGCTGCCCATATAGAGAAGGCTGTATAGAGAAGAATACTGTGAAACAGGTGTGAGTTTCTCTCAGTGCCCCTGCCAGGCAATGGCTGAAATCCCATTACTGCACTCACAAGATGTGGCTGTGGCAGACCCTGTGACTGCTTGAGCTTTCCTGCTTCCTGTTTGCCATCAGCAGTCTCATAACCTTCATGACTTCTGACAAACATCACTTTGAGAGGGAGGAAAACATGCACATTCATAGGTGAGGCTGGTGAAGAAGTGGTTGCTCTACCCCAAGATTCATGTTGGTTCAAGTACTTGAGGGCCAGTACAGCTTGGGAATCAAAGGCTAGGCCCATTTTCCTGTAGGAGTTTGATCCTTGTTTACACTTAAACTTTGGATTTCCTTACTGCTGCCAATGGGGAAAGGTGGTGCACCAACAAGTTTGTTTATGCTGGAGTTGCAGGCAACCAGTGTCTTGTGATTCCCTGCAAGAACAGCACCTGCCTGGAGCAAGCTGGATGAATAAAACAACCAGCACAACCCTTTTGAAACTGATAAGGAGAATGGTTGACGTTGTTTGGAGGAAGTGGTTATTCAGATTGAAACTGGGTCATTAGGCAATGAAGAGGGAAAGGAAAAGTGGAGAGCTGGGAATGTTGTTTGCTGTGCATAAGCACAGAAGTACCACCAGTTGGACTAACAAGAGGTTTGG